GTCCTCGATTCAAATTTAGGGGTAACAGTGGGTAATAAGATTAGAAAATCTAGAACAATATGAACCAAGAAGTCCAAAATAGGGTAAAGTCTTTCTCGAGTTTTTTCTTTCAGCTTTTCCTGCCAGCCGTCTACGAAAAGCGGCTGGTTATGCTGCTCAACGCGTAGCGCAGCGGCTGAAGCCCAGTTTACCTGCCCACTGCCTGGTCAGCAACCAGTCCGAGGGACAGACGGCTCAAACCAGTTCTGCTCGAAACCTGGTCAAAGAGATGATTGTCCATCAAGGTGAGTTCAACATTGATGATCGATGATGATTTTGATTTTATAGGTGATTTTATAGGAAATCTATATCATAAACAAAGTTTTTTTAGGGCAATATGTCTTTCATCTGGCAATTCTCCAAATCTGTTTATCTGCTGCTATTCAGCTGCTTTTCAGGTAAGTTTCTAGCCCGGGTGTTGAATGACACGCTGTTATGTAATACATCTCTTAGGTGACCCCTATCTGTCCGAATAATGGCATACCTCAACCTGCTCCATTTGGGGAAAACTACAAATCCTGTTCTGTGCTTAATGACTGCGACTCCGGGTGGGTAATATTTTCAACATTAGGGTAAAGCTGCTTAACCTTACCTCTACTTACAGTTTCTCATGTGTCCGCTCGGCTAATGATTACTCTATTCGAATATGTTGTACAGCTGGTTTATTACAAGAGCAACGTCCTACCTGCCCTAATCAAGGACAATTACTTACCGTAACTTATCATACCCAAGTTTTCTCTCAGTTCTTATATAGCAGGTTGATTTTAGGAGCGCGGTAAGCCGGTTTATTGCTCAAGGTCTCAATCGCTCCTATGCCCAAAAGACTATAGTTGCCAACAGGCTTTGGGTAGTCCGGGAACATTTGTGTGCTGCTCAAGCGGTTCTAGCGTTTGTCCAGCTCCATTTTCAGCTGTTATAGACGGAGAAGGAAATCAGGTACATAGGCTGATTTCTTGATATGCAGACTTTGCACAGTTATTTTTAAAAAGCCTTTTTCGCCCATTAAAGTCTTTTTTCCCCAGATTTCCTGCT